AAAGAAACAAGTGTTGGATGGCAGAGAAATGAGATGAAGAAGGATGAGCAGAAGGTGAAGTGAAGGACATGGGAGGGGGGGGGTCTTTGGTGGAGAGTGTGATGCACTCTAAAGATCTTAGAAAGGTAAAGGCATGTTGGGTAATAGAGTGTGACAGAAGCGGGGTGTGGTGTGTAAGAATGTTCCCAGGTCGCAGCCCGGCTGTCGTGTGATGTTCTGTACTGCTGTAAACACACACAAAAACACACACACACACCTTAGTAAAGGTGTAGTCCCTCTGTCTGAGGTCGATGACCTCATATTCTTTGACTTGAGTAAACACACGCACACACACGTACACGTGTTAGGCTGTTGTCGTGCAGCGGCGGACGACCTCTGACCTGCTGCCACAGCTCAGAAATCCTACACTGGTTTATTTGTGGACACAGATGTTAAAACTGAAAGATGTTGATAATTCTATTGGTTGTCACGGCAACACAACTTTGACATTTCTAATGGAATAAACCAGTGACAGACGGAGGGAGAACCTTCACCACGTCCTCACTGATTATTTTTTTTAATCACACTTAAATGATCACTGCTGGGAATTTTGTTATTATTATTATTATTATTATTATTACTTGTAAAAGGTTAATCTCCTTTGGCCTGTAGGGGGTGCCAAGTACACATTTAAAAGCCGTGCTGCATGATTTCACCATTGTGACTGGTGCATCCCCGAGTCATAATCGTAACACCAGCACTTACTGCAGCAGCAGGAACTGTGTTAACGTAGAGCTGCAGCTGCCAGACTGTATAAGAGGCGATTGTTCTATTTTAATTTAATTTTGTATATTTTTATTTCCTGGTAGAGCAGCCTGCTGACATCATCTCACCTTGAAGACGTTTGTATTTGTCCTTATCTCAGTCGTCATTAAAGGACTTAGCAGTTTGGACCGGACTGTCGTTGTCATGTTGTTGAATGAGTGTGCAGCAGTATGGACAAATGACAATGAATGATAAAAATTTGTTGTCCCGCAGTTGATGCAGGATTCAAACCTACAACCCATAGGCAACAGGGCCAGTTTTCTAACATCATGTCAACTTTAAAGCACTTTTCATATTTCAGCCATTTGCTGTACTTACCAACAGCAAGGCCACCAGGGGGCGACATGTACTCTACCCAGTCCAGAACCTGGTCATAAGACATCTACCCTTCCTACTGACCCACTGCGCCCTCCTGTGGTATTAACAGAAGCCAAGTAATGCACTGGTCACGTTTTATTTATCTTCTTCCTAACAAGGTTCGAGTTGGTGTCGATGGCGATCCCAGGTGGCGTCGGACATTTCTCCAATCACATACAGAAACAAACACATTCAAAACAACATGCACATTTAGCCCAACGGTAATTCAGATGAACCGTTCATATGAATCCATCATTGTGACGTCATTGATTCTGTTCAAGAACCAGTGTGGATTTTTGTGCCTGTGTTGTTGAACTAACCAACGGCCAAAGCAGCAGAAGAACAGCGGCTCCGTTGCCCTGGAAACCAAAGTCGGTGACGTTCTTCGTCGTCGCAGGGTCGGCACAGTGAGTATGTGTTAGCATACAGTATACATTTTTGTTACAATATTGTAGTTTTTTGTGTTTGTCTGCTCATTTTCCCTGGCCTGTAGGTGGTGCTAAGCGACATGATCCCCATACACTGGTGCGTTGTGAACTAGGTCAGAACACACGGAAGACGAGTTACTGACGGAAACACACACTGTTTAAGACACTTATATGTAGCATGTCATGTAGCATGTTAGCCTTTTTTTTTGCGTGAGTGGCGGTTTTCTGTCGGTTCATCCATCGAACTCAGAATTCCTGGATGACCCTGAAGTGGTTGTTGATGGATGGAGGTTCGTCCTTGAAGTGCAGCTTCTTACTGAGACTCGCTCCGAACTCCTCCAGGGTTTGGATGAAGAGTCTGTACTCGCGGCCCACCCACGCCCTCATTGGATCGCACACCTCGTACGGCGTTACGTGGGCGTGAACAGACACTTCGCTGGCTGCGAGCTCCTTTAGTGCTTGCTTGTCGGTCACCCAGGTCTCACTCCCTCCCGGGTGTCCCCCGTCCAGCCAGTACATCTCTGTGATGCAGTGAATGAAGGCAGACACCAGGGGGTCCAGACGGGCCTCGGCCAGCTCATACACCATCTGGTTCAGAACCACACAGCCTTTACTGAAGCCCACCAGCGTCAGAGAAAAGCCCGGGGGGAGGCTGTCGCTGCCTCCCTGTGGCCGGAGGTTGGCTCTCTCCATGCCATGGATGAGCAGAGCCCTGAAACAGAGATCAGGGTTCAGTAAAAGCAACCTCAGACAGTGAAGTGTGACCAGGGGCAGTGGAGCAGCTCCAACCTGAGGTGGACAAACGCCCCGAAGTCCGACGAGTACTCCGGCGCTCCGAACATGTTGCTCTCCACAAAGTTGCAGTAGCAGCTGAACTTGTGGAGATACATGCGTGAGGCTTTGACCACCCAGATGTATCGGCCAGGGAAACGTCGGCTCAGATGCAGGGCCACCTGCTCCAGACTCCAGGAGACCCACTGGACCCCCTCAGGCCGGAGAGCCATCTCCTCCTGAAAGTTCTGCACCAACAGACATGAAACTGCAGTACATGGTATGTAATACGTTTGAAAAGTATTCTGTTACTTGGGCTGTCTGGTTTGACACGTGATGTTTGGGTTAGAAAGTTAAAAAAAAGGAGTTTTTCGTCTCACCTGGATGTCTCCGTGGAAAAACACCACATGCCTGTTGTTCCCACTTCTCCCCTCCGCCCACGAACAGCTCTGCTCCTCGGTATCAGGCCGCACCAGCAGCAAGTCGTTCACTCGGTTGGGTTCAGATCCTGGCACTGCACACAGCCTCTGCAGCTGGCTACTGACGCTGCTGTCCCGGCTCACTCCTCCACCAAGCCCTGTAGTCTCTGACGACGTGGACGCGGTCGTGGAGCTCATGACTTTAGCCGCCGGTGGTAGTGGAACGGTGTAAATTCTAAAATAATAAAATGACTCCGTGTTTTGGTCGCAGACCACTCACCCCATGTTGCTGCTGTCAGCTATTTATCACGGCGTCGGCTAACGGCTAAAACATATCACATCAGCGGTGAATAGCAGCTAAAATGGCCACGATCGACCTGTTGAAACGTTCTAACCAGAATTTGTAGCATTTTCTACCTGCTGTCTGTCAAACCATAACAGACGAGCACATGCTCTCACTCTGACAGTTCGGACACGATTTGTGTCCACATAGAGGCGCTGTGTTACCCAAAACACACCGCCGCAACAGCACGAATGCGCATGCCTGATTTGTTACTGACGTCAAAGATAGTTTAGCGCTGAGAAAATAAACTGTACTATTTCCCGTTTTTGGCTACTTACTAGAAGAAACGTAAAAAATACCTAACGTCTTTCGTCAACGCAAACGTAAATAGAACTAATATTTTACTGATCCAACTGTCGCACTACTGCAAAATGGTCGACCAGAATATAATCAAAACTACATTAAAACATTGCAATGGCATAAATAAAGTATTGTAGAAATACCAAATATTGGAAAAATTGACCAAAAATCCTTTGTAAATACACGCACGCGTATGTGTACCACGTATACAGCGTATCTTCCCATCGGTGGGAAAGACAGGGAACTATCTTGGCTAAAGGCTAGCCTCTTCGGCTACGTCTGCTAATCTCGGAGCCCAGGTGTTGGTAGTGGTTGAGCCTGAGGTGGCCGTGTTGTTGTCCTGCAGAGAAGTCTGTGAATACTCAAGTCCAACAACAGAGTGAGGTCTGCAAGAACACGGAGCTGAGGCTCAACGGAACCGTAATGGTTTTACTGTAGTACTCATTTTTTCTGAATCCCCACGTATACTCATGTCCACCGTAAAGTGGACTTTGACCAGGTCTAACAGCAAGCAGTTAGCTAGCAGTTATCTAGCAGTTAGCTAGCAGTTAGCTAGCGACACTAAACAGCTCGTTAAAAGCAAACGTTCAACAAACCGGATGTTTTAACCGGTCACACCACCCGTCCCAGGACCAGGGTAACTAATTTTGTTCATCTCATGTCTAACATGTGTTGAAATGACGATAAACACCTTGAACAAACAATTACACAGTACATGCAGCTTCAACATGACGCCACATCTTGTGGATACGTAGACCCGCCGCCATATTGGAGGATGAGCTGCAGCGCATATAGCTATATAAACATTAGTCAGCAGAAGAGTCTCTGAGATAGAAACAGGATGTCAAAGCTACATGTCAAGAGTTTAGTGAATTTACAAACTTTGTCAACAGGCTGTAACGTCTCCGTATATTATAACTTACTCTGTCTATTGACCAATAAACTTTTTAAATTACTAGTTATATTAAGAGCTCATTCAGTACGCTGTCATTCTGCCCTCTATTGCCTACAGTGTATTAATCAATTTATAAAACATTGTTTTATTTATTTATTCATTTATTTTTAATATTGTTATTTTGGCTTCTTGGACTGTGATGAGTAGAAATTGGGCTCCAAAAATGTCACTTGTTTGTTTATAGCTCAGTGGTCACAGAAACATGGCATCCAGCTGTTTGGGCCGACGACTAGTGGCTTGTCTCCTGAACATATCTGAGGCCCGTAGGAAAGACCTGGTGGAGACGGTTGCCATGGCAGCTGTGTACAACACTGAAGGTAAAAGTTCTGGTCCTTTCTGTCGACACTCAGGTCACAGAGTCATGTATCCATCCTTCAACACACTTGATTGTTTTTTTTTAACAATCCTTCCTCAGGTGTCAGGCGTGGGGGGGCCACCGTGCTGAACATCTTCAATGACCACGACTACAACCGCTCTGTCATCACCATTGTTGCCACCATTGACTCTATCAGTAAGTTTTTATCTAATTTTTTTTTTAACTAGAGATTTACAATAATATCAGCCAACCGATATTAGCATAATTATGTCAAATGTGTTAGAATCATTCTCAGCTTTCCATATCAGCAACTCATACAGTGGTTTGTACTGATAAACAAATAAATATTACCAGGCGCTCAATAGTATTTCAACTGAGGGAGGGGTTGGGTGGACTTCTGTCTCCTAGTGGGGGGGCATGGCAGAAAATAATTTAAAAAAACACTGCTTTAATCCATCACCTTAGTGAGCAGGCAGCACTTCACTTCCTGAACCACCCGGCCAACACTGCCCCACTATATTGGTATGGTTGATATTGGAATTGAAGTGATTGGACAATATCGGATATCAGCAAAAAAAAAATTTGTAGGACATCCCTATTTTTGGTTAGTTATGATGTTTGTGTTTACCATGCTGGTCTACCTGACAAATACAGAACACTTTAAACTCTTCACGTCACCCTCAGATTGACCAGTGTCTGTTCTCTCTGTCAACAGTTTACCTTTACATTTCACTTCCTTCCTTTTTAACCCAGGGGAGGCGGTGCTCTCTGCATGTGAGAAAGCTTGCAGTTTGATTGACATGCGTGTCCATGTGGGGGTTCATCCATGTATGGGTGCTGTCGACCTCATACCCATCTACCCCCTGGGTGAGGAGGTGGGAGTGCAGGACTGTGCTAAGGAGGCTCAAGGTGAGAAGTCCAGTGTCGGCAGGTCGGTGTGAATGTTCTGATGAAGAAAACATCGATCGCTGTAGAAGTGGTGAATGAACACGATGGTGTCTGTGTCTCAGCCGTGGCTCTGGGCCTGACCCAGCGCGTCCAGGGCAGCTCTGCCTTCCTGTTTGGCTGGGCCGACTCTCCACTTCAGCGCGGTCTGGCACAGAGGAGAAGAGACATGGGCTGGTTCAAGAAAGTTCCAGACCTGCAGGGAATCCAACCAGATGTTGGGCCACAGCCACAGAGAAGATATGGCCTCACAGGTGGGTCACAGCCCATGTGGGTCACAAAAGTAGTGCTGTCCTGTAGACTGAGGGAATTCTGGGTTTGGTGTCAGTGAATACAGAACAGTCACTCTACTCCTCCTTCTTCTCCTCGTCTTCCTCCTGCTCCTCCTCCACCTAAAAAGTTGAATAAAACCACGGTTTGCGCCCTCTAGGGTCCACTGGTCAAATAACAGATATGGATTCTTTCACATATCTCTTCACCTAGGACTCCGCTGCCCCTAGGGGGTCAGGTGTGGTACTGCAGGGAGGTCATTGTCCTCTCTGTCGTCTGCAGGTGTTGGTGCCGGTCCGTACGTTATGAACTGTAACGTCACCATCGACACCCAGGACCTCACCCTTGGACGCAGCATTGCCACAGCCATTAGAGAGTCCACCCCTGGGGGTCTGCCTGGGGTGCAGGTGATGGCTTTCCACCACGAGGGCGCTGTCGAGATAGCCTGTAATGTGGAAAGTGTGAAAGAAAGTCTGGTGGGTCACATGACTGCTGCCGGACCCTGGCCTTCCTTCAGCGTTGAAGGACAGCGGTTCTGTCACGCCCCAGCGTCCCTCATCACAGCCAGGGTGGCAGAGTTGGCAGGAGAGCGGGGCGTGGGCATGAAGGGTACAGCTCTGGTGGGCTTCACCCCGCATGAGTGCAGGGGTCTGGCAGAGTGGGCTCTGTCTCAGGGGACGGCCGAGTTCTGGAAAGAACAGAAGAAGATCCACATGTGAAGAGAACCGACGTCACCCTCTTCCTATGACCCAGAACCAGAACCAGAACCAGTACCGATCACAGTGATTATCGTCATTTTATTATCAAAGAGACAGAGGTTGACTCTGCTTCACCTGAGGCTCCTCCCCTTCCCTTTCCTCTCATTTTCTCCCCTGTCCTTCCCTCCCCTCTCCTCCTCCAGGACGTTGATCATCCTCCAGCTGAGGTTCTCTCACACAAGCAGAACATCAAGCTTCGCTGCGTCTGCCTTTGACACACACACTCACACACACACATACACATTTTCCTCTTCTAGTGTGCCTTTGTATCCAGACTTACACACATACATGTGCGTCTGCCTTTGACATGTGAGTGTGTGTGTGTGTGTGTGTGTGTATGTGTATGTGTGTAACAGGAACACACTCGGTCTGTAAGCACTGAGGCCTAATCTAGGTCACAGCACAAGCCCAGAGGTATCACACACACACACACACACACGCCTGCACAATGTTTTTTTTTTTCATTCTAAGCTTGAACATGTCTAGTTTTTATCCACTTTTCTATTTGTGTGATAAACGAGGCCAAAATGTCAAATTCTCTCCGGTCAAACCAACGGACTGGTCATGGGTCACATGACCAGTCCGTTGGTGTAAAGGTCACAACACCATCCTCTCTGTGAGTGAGGGTCCGTCCCAGGGGCTGTGGGTTTTCTGAATTTTGATCAGATTCTATTCCCAGATTATCACCTGACTGTTGGACATGTTTTCACATGACATGATGTGAAAAAATGTTGATTTTAAAGAAATAAAGTCAGCAATAATAATGTCCCCCTGAGAGCACATTACATGTTTGTGTGTGTGTGTGTCTGTCTTTGTGTCATCTACACAAACAGAGATTTCTTATTTCTCTCCATCGGTCGTCTATAAATATCCCCTCCCTCCTCTCTCCCCCCGTCTCCTCTCTCTATTCTTCTGCTCCTCTCTGCTCTCACTCCCATTCACTCCCGTCCCAATCCCTGAAATCCCCATTTATCTCCCTACACTCTGAGTGACTCCACATCTGCACTGTTCTGTAAAATGTAGTAGAAAAAGACTGACAGTGGATTAAAAACCCCAGCTTCTTCTTCCTCCTCCTCCTTCACCTCTTTCCTCCTCCTCCTCTCTCTCCCCCTCCTCTTCCTTATCCTCCCCCCCTCCTCTCTCTCAGCAGCTGATGGACTCCCTCCTCGGTGGTTTGTAGCTGTGGAAGCTAACCAGATTACATCCAGAGCCAGTGATTTTCAGACGCGTCACGCAGACGCGTGTGCAGACTGGCGTCCTCCCAGACCTATCAGCGAGGGGAAGTGAGCGTGCCACCTATGAAGTCAGCGGCCCCCAACCCCCACCTTGGACACATGTTCAACATCCTCTGGGCTGCTCTGAGACACAGCTGAGAGTCATAGGAGGAGAGGCGGAGGAGAGGAAGAGCAGTGAAGTGGAAATATGGGTGAGCATCGGAGAGAGACAGAAATAGAGCAATAAAGCAATGAATTAGTCAGGCAGAGGGGGGGACAGGAGAGAGGGGGAGAGAGGGGGGAGGAGGAGGAGGAAGAGCATTTACTGTCAGTCTTCCACAGAAACATCGCTGCTGCTGCTGCTGATGACAGAGTTGTTTTCCTGGAGAAACTGCTGGTCTGGTGTGGATGTGAGGAGGAAGACTCTGGGGGAGGAAGACTCTGGCCCTGTCAGGATTATCTTCCTTCAGAGTCCTGGACTGTTCTGGTTCTGTTCTGTTTCATAAAGAGGATGTAGACCGGTCTGACATCCGGCTCCACTTCAGGAAGTACTGCTGACCTGACCACCACCAGGACTGGGCACCAGGGATTTAACCCCCGGACAAGGACCC